GGAATACTCCTAGTTGCTGTCAGTTTTCTGATGGCAAAGAAAGCGGGTTGAGCTGAGCTTTGCCTTGCAAATACTGGAGACGCAGTGGGGTTTGATCAGAGTGATTTAGATTTGGACTATTCAGGGCATATTTGTCATACACCCTGCTCCAGCTCTCTCGCTTCCTTTTCTTGAGCTTGGGTGTGTGCGGCCATAAGCTCTGTAAAGAGTGGGTGGTGGAAAGGGAGGAGAAATAGCTGTTCCTTTAGTGTAGAAAGAGTAAAGTTTTGGGAAGATTGGTAGTGGAAAAGGCGGTCTGGCACCTGTGAGAGAGGTTGAGGCCAGGTGTAAAAGGATCAGAGACGCTGGCCTCCTTAAAGACCTGGGGCCCAGATCTCTTTGGATCTGTAATGGGATTTAGAGTTAGTCAGGAATGACCTGGGCTGGGAGCTCAATGGACAGAGCCCATGAGATGCTGGATTTCTTCTTACCACAGCAGGTCGCTTGGGGAGAAGCTCTTGCAAACCAGCACCCTGATGTGTAGATACGTTCCCTGGTACTTTGCCTCCTGATGTTTTTATTGGCTCAAACCATGCGGGGCCAGAATGGCGAGACTACCCAGTAGCGTGATTGATCCCTCTGTGAGAGCTGGTGTGGCTTTACCTGTCATCTAGTTCTCACCACTACCTGCTTAGCTGATGTCCTGCCATTCAGCAGAATGACTGCCCTCTTCTTCTTGGTGTATGTACCCTTTGGATACTTGCAGGTGGTTTTTGTGCACTCCTTGGCTATTAATTTGTTCAGGTGGATTGTGTTTTGCTTCACAGTACATGTACTGCTCCTCACTCTTGCTGCTCTTTCAGTTTTTCCCTGTGTGTCCATGTGCTGAGCAGCTTGGAGCCCACAGAGCATTCGAGGTGTGGCATTTCCAGTGCCTGGCAGTGAAGGGCCACCCTTGAGAGATCTGTAACATGATGCCTCTGCTTAAACTGCTTTGGGTCTCCTTGGCTTCCCCCATCACCAGCACTGTATTGGGTTGCAGAGTTGGCCTTAGCGTCCTGTCAGCTGTATTGTAGGTGATCTCTTCTAGCTTGTGCAACATCTTCCCATCCCTCTCTCAGTTCCTTTAATTGAATACCTCTAGTTCAGATTACTTTTCCCGTGTCTGTAAATCACCCTCTGTTTTCTACTTTTGGCTTTTATCTCCAGTTTCCTCTTGCTTTATTATTCTCTCTTGATTGGTGTTGGCAGCCTCTCTTGATTAAGTATCCTGTGGGAATCATCAGTAACAGGCTTTGTTGCCACCTTTATCCAGAGCATGAACAAAGATGATAAATAATGGATCGGGGATCCCAGTTCCACTGTGTGCTGCCTTTACTGCAGCCTACTCCTGATGTCACTCCTCTGTGGCCCTCCAACCAGTTAGTATCTCGGATGCTTTTAATTCCCAGGTGCTAGGGATTGAGGGGTGATAGCCCAGACACAACATTTTCCATCCATACTAGGCCTTGAAGCCTTTCAGGCCTTCTCCAGGACAGTATAAATTGTTGGGATCTTGCAAAATGTCTGGAGAAGGAAGGGAGGTACTGAATGGAAAGGCCTGATGCTGTATCCCTCTGCACCATGTAACAGGTCATCCACCTGCACCGAGGGGGCATAGAAAACAGGTTCTGGGTGAAGGGGTTGTGCCCTCCTTGCCTGTAACCAGAAAACAGGAGAGGCAGAGGAAGCCCCAGCGCCCTGGTGCGGTGCGCACAGCAGAGTGCCTCAGCTGCTGAGTTCAACCGAGTTACTTGAACGCAGTATCAAAGCCCTTGTGATGTTCATTGAGGTGCAAGGCAGCGTGTTTTGAAGCAGTGATAGCGAGACTTGTTGGAGCCTGGGCGACTCCCCAGCCTGGAGGGATCCGGCACGTAGTCTCTGATGGTGTGTCTGGAGGACGCTTGTGCTCAGGCTGTCCTCTCACAGTCTGCTCTGCAGACAGAGGGACTCATTCACGAGAACTTCTCTCTCACACCGGATTGTCCTTGCGCTTCTCTCTCGATGATGGAGTGGAGATGGAGCAGAAGCAGATAGGGCTTATCGGTCTCTGAAGGCAAGCATGGACTGTGTGGTTTATCCCCAGCTGCTCTCTTTCAGAACGTGCTCTGTGACCCTGGGGTACTGTGTGCTGTGCTCTTTGGGGTTTGCTTTTGGGTTTTCCTGTCAGAAGGAAACTTGAATTTCTACACAGGCAGACACAAAGGCTGGACTCCTCTTAGTCCTCATCTGGGGCTTAAAGCACAGGGTCTTGCTTCCATGCCTTTCTTTGGGGGGTAGATGTGCTAGGCAGGGTGTTTTCCCCATGTTGGCTGGGGAGGGAAATTGGGCCTTGGCTAGCCCATTTATTTGCCTCTAAAAACACTCACTTTGAAAAGCAAAACCCTGTTTGCAGAGGAATTGCCAAGATCTTTTGGCTTTTGAAGGGGAGGTGCTTTGTCAGAGGTGCTGGCCAAGAGGCAGGGCAGGGTTGCTGGACATGACGGGGATTGTTGGGGGCTGGGATGCGGATTATTAGGGGCCAGGATGTGCTGGAGCGGATGTTGGTGGCAAAGAGGAGCTGGGGATGGTGGGGCAGACAAAGCATGCTGGGACCTGTGCTGGCTGGGGATAGTTCCTGGTGGCAAGCTCCTCCCTTGCTGGGAGGGGAGTGCCTTCCCTTTGTTTCCCAGCCTGTTAACTCTCTCTCGTCCTCTCTGACTTCTTCCATCTGTTCCCAGCCCTCCATTCTTCCCGTGCTGAGCTGCGAGAGCGGAGAGGGGAGCAGGCAGTGGGGAGAGTGGGGGGGATGTGCCCGTTGGCCTTCTCGATGTGCGGGGAGGGCGGTGTTCGTTGTATCAGACATGCAGCAAGGCATTCGCTCCGAAAAGATCCTGTTTAGCCGGTGACATCCTCTGTCCCCGGGGCCCCATTTCAAACAGCTCGAGATGAATGAGTTGAATTTGTGCAGCCCCCACAGCGGAGCGAGACTGGGGGTGGATGTTAGGAATTATCCCCAATCCTACATACATCTCTGCAGTGGCTGAAGCTAGGCAGGCTCTGCTGCATTTGTCTGAAATGCGGTGCTTTCCAGTCTGGAGAGGGAGAGGAGAACTGTTGCTTTTGTACTTGCATTTTTAAAAAAGATGGTGGTTAGAGCATGGAACAAAGGATCGGAGAGACTCCTTCTGTTGAATTTCCTCCACCCTTGTGGTAGTCTCAGTCTGGGTAGATCTCTAGCCAAGAAATGGTAGGGAGCAACCTGAAGACTTAAGGGGTTTGGAGTGGGAGTGAGCCTAAAGTGTTCACCTGTGAGTCCCTCAGTAAAGAACAGCCCTTCATTAGGTCAAACTGATCTTACTCTTGCTGTTCATGGCCACAGGGTTGTCTTTTCTTTTTCTAAGAGACTACTAGCACGTATCTGGATTATTCAGAGTGTGGATCTGAAGGCCATGTTGATCATTCAAATGGCATATTCACATTTTTCAGAATCTTAAGTTTTCTTGAGCCTTGCCCCTCCTTTCCCTTTTCCTGCTTTATATGCTCACAGGTAACACTCCCCACCTGCAGACAGCCTAGTAGCTGGATGCATCATCATCTTACTAAACACACAGGGTAATGTGGAGATGAGAACTCATTCATCTTTCCACTGTTCAGCTTTGGGGAGTAGGGTTCATTCAAAATGATAATGCTGCCACTGCCTAAAGTCAGCGAGACTTATCGTTGCGCGTGTGTCAGCAGATGGACTAGGAGAAGGAAAAATTCCCCCAGGGAGCTGCTGCAGAGCATTTGGAAGCAGGGGAAAGAGAAGGAAAAGAAGCGCACTTTTCTATTTGGATGTCCTGTGTGTTTCCGCGCTGAATGAGGTTCAGGGATTGAATGCTAATTTAAAAGGTACATACCAATCCAGGGCCATGTTCTTACTGTGATCTGAACCCCTTTTCCTGCTCTTTTCCTCCTTGCACTCCTGATGCTTGTAAGAAGGATCTTGTGGTGGAGTGAAGGGAGCATACAGACTTGCTTTGCTGGCTGGTAGTTTTTAAGTGGAAAACATCAGCATCTTTCCAGAAATAACCTCTGAACAAATGGCTCTAGCTCTCAGGATGGCTTTTTCCCTTTTTCTTCTGGCTCTTGAGTAAAACCCCTTATTAAATTATACCATTGTTCCCCCTTCTCCTCCCTCAGAGCACCCTAAATAATTCCTCTCCCTCCTTAGTGTTTACAGCCTCCAAATACTTGCAGGCTGTTGTCATGTCCTATTCTTCCTCCCCACCCTTCTTAGTTGTATCTCTTGTCTAAGTTACATATTTAGCTCTTTTAATCTTTCTTAGTAAATCAATCCCTCTAGGCCCCAATTGTTTTTGTTCCTCTCTTACAAATTCCTAGCAGCTTGTCTGTCTCGACCCGGCACTGTAGTATCTAGGTGACGTCTTGCTGCTAGCAGACAGCTCTTGACTAACTTTGTTTACAAGCCAGAACTCTTCAACAGGAGCTGGATCTCTTTAGGATCCGGGGGGTGAAGGGATTCACTTGTGTGAACATTTCCTTTTTCTCCTTCTCCTGACTCTGGAGGCAGCATGTGAAAAAGGATGGATGGAGAGATCTGTCTGCAGCTATCCTTGTGGACTCCGAAAGTGTTATTGCAGGGATCAGGGGCCACAAATTAACTGGACCTACCAGAACTAGCTGTGGGATATCTACAAAATGTCATCTTTGACCCCAGCTCATGCTTGGCACGCATTTTCTGGAGTAGTTTATTTTATGACAGCGTTCAGAATCTGCTTGTGATCAGAGCTGCTTTTTTATTTGTGTTTGAGTGCAACTTTTAATAGTTCCGGATATGAGGAAGGGCTCATCTGTGTGTTTGAGGCAGGCATGGGAGGGAGAGGGAGAGAAGCAAGTCTTGAGTGTCATTCCCGTGACCTATGTGCAGATCTTCATTCTTTCCATTTTCGGATGATGTGAAACATCTGGAATCCTCTCAACTAGTACAAGAGAAAGAGCAGCATGTTCCTCCTTTGACAGTACTTTGGGACCAGAGTGCTGGCTTTCGTGGCTGGCAGCTCAGTTGCTCTCAGGAAAGAAGCGCGTCAGGGGGTGGTTTTGTGTCATTGCAAACTATCTAGCAATACCTTCAACAAAGGCATCTGCGTAGCTTAATTCAGTACCGGATTCTGTTTATTTCTTCACACTTCTAATTTAGGATATAGCAAATGTTTCTGTGTTGGCAAAAGATAAAGGTATTATTAAAGTTCTCAGGAGAGAGGGGAGCTGTACTGAGCAGGTAGGGCTGTGGAGAAACCAGAGGTAGCTGGGAATGTTAGCAGTGTCTCCTCCTGAACTAATTGGCTCCGTTGAAACTGTGTACCTGAGGTAACCAGTAATTTTGCTGGGGAAGATGTACTCCATATCACTGCCTGCGGGGGCTGGCTTGGGTTCAGGGGCTTGGGATCAGGGACAGCTAAAACTTCCACTCAGTTCAGTTACTGCTGATACGTACAGCTTGACCTCCCAAAGTCTGGCACTTTTGGAGATAACGAGGCGTTTAACACATTGTAGGACTGTTGTTCTAGCCTGGCTGCAGAATCAGAGCTGGTTTCCTATTCATGTGCCTTCCTCTGGGCTTGCCTTTGCAAACAGCAGTGCTGGAAACTCTGTATGAAGTTGAAGTGTCTGCATCTCATTTCTGTCACAGAGAATAAATTTCATGTCAAATCTTAAGGTTTTGCCATCTGTATGGGCCTTGTTAAAAGTGTTTAGCTTCAGTGGAAGCTTGCACAATCTTCATTTCACTCTCATTTCTATGCAGGAGCCAATATTGCAACTGGGGAAGAGGTGGCCATCAAACTGGAATGTGTCAAAACCAAGCATCCCCAACTCCACATTGAAAGCAAGTTCTACAAGATGATGCAGGGAGGAGGTGAGATGGGGAGAAGAGGATGGGGCCGGGGGAGTGGTTGAAGAAGGAAATGATTCTGGAGCGCCTTAGAAGGGAAATGATTTGGTGTTACATATGATGTTGTCAGCAGGGGATGTAGCAGTTTTCCCCTGTTCTGTGGGCTTAATCTTTTTCTTTCCTCAGTGGGTATCCCCTCCATTAAGTGGTGTGGAGCAGAGGGGGACTATAATGTGATGGTGATGGAGCTCTTGGGGCCCAGCCTGGAAGATCTCTTCAACTTCTGTTCCCGCAAATTTAGTCTCAAGACAGTTCTGCTCCTGGCAGACCAGATGGTGAGTTTCCTCTGAAGCATTTGTGCCTACTCTCCTTTTCCATGTCTTTTTTTTTCTTTTTTTGTCTTTTTTTTTTTTCCCCCTCCCATCCTCTCTGCTCAAGAACTGCTATGTAGTGTCCTAGACTTTTTTTCATTTAGCAGCAACTGGCTGCTAGGTTTCTATTTCTTGATGAATCTGGGGGCCTAGAACCAAGGCACTGCTGGCTTTTCTTGGTCTCCATCCCTCCTTCCTCCCCAGCAGCTCACCCTGTGTTAGCATCGAGTACATAGATGCTTTTGTCTGTGTGGCAAACAGCTGGTGTTGCTACCGATCCTGACTTAACTGCCTGTGCCCTGGGTTTAAGACCTGTGGCTCTTCTGGACCCACTCCTTTCCCAGCCTGGCTAAGCCTGAAAGTTGACTGGTGTCAGTACTGAAGCTCAAGGTGTTAGTCCGTACAAACTTGCTTCACATCCTTCCTTGTGGTGCTAATGGCGACCTCATCAGATGGAGGACTGGGATGGTGCGCAGGGTTGAATTCCATCTCCGTTCCTCGTCTCTGGATCCTTCTGCTTCCAGCGTGTGTCTTTTTTCCCTGACCGTCATCTCTGACATTCTCTGCAAAATGTCCCTTGCTCTGCTGTGACAGGGCAGTGTCCTGGACAGGGTGCCTTTTTTTAACAGATGCAATTATGGTAGGTTACCTTGTCTCACTGTTTATTTACTTTGTGTCCCTGCTCCAGATCAGCCGTATTGAGTACATTCATTCCAAGAACTTCATCCACCGAGATGTGAAGCCAGACAACTTCCTTATGGGCCTCGGCAAAAAAGGCAACCTAGTATACATCATTGATTTTGGTTTGGCTAAGAAGTATCGAGACGCCCGGACCCACCAGCACATCCCTTACCGGGAAAACAAGAATCTGACTGGCACAGCCCGCTATGCCTCCATCAACACCCACCTGGGAATTGGTGAGCTTGCTGTTACCCCTTGGTGGGCCTTTCCAGGGGAGGTAGTGTCACCCAAGAAGAGGGGTGGGTTGGCTTCTGTGCCTGGTTCTGCTGCTGACCTGTGTTGGGATGGTGGGGAACTTAACTGTCAGGCCTATGTTACCTCACCTGCCTTTTGTGGCTCTCTGAGCTCCTCAAAATCCTGCCGGTATGCCTTTGTGCGCCGCTTAGTACAGCAGGGCCTTTTTTTTTGACAGCAAGACTGTTGGCTCCCTGACTTTACTGCTGCTAACTGCCTCACACAATTTTTGCAGACAACTAGGTGTGTTTGCAGGCACTGAACGTTTCGGGTTTGTGGGATTGAAACCTCTCTTCTTGACTCCTGAGTGCTTTCAGCAATGATTATTCTGTGACTCTGATCTGGGGGGGACAGGCATGCTGCAATGTGGTGATAGAATCGTATAATCGTAGATTCATTAAGGTTATAAAAGACCTCTAAGATCAAGTCCAACAGTTGATACTCCTGGAAATGTACAAGAACCTGAAATGAGGGGAGGCTTCCTGCTGCCTGGACATCCAAGTTTTGTGATTGAGGATCAGCTGTCATGGGCCTTCAAAATATGTGTGTGTCTGAACCATGCTGCCCCATTCCCTAAAGCTGCCTCAGACTCTCTCACTGCTGAAATAGGGCTGTGTTCTTCGTGTCTATGACTAGTAACTGTAGGGTTAAAACTAGACTAGGAAAGTTGGTTCAGCCAGGTCTCGTACTGGTGATGGCCATCATGCCAGGTTTTGTGAAAACATTGTGCAGGTTAGTACCCACCGCACTTAAGCCTCCTGAGGTCACACAGATTCTTGTCCTGGAAATGAACCCCTGATGCACAACACTTGGTTGCTGTGAGGAACACAGGTGAAAACCTCTTGCAGGTTTTTCTCTTCCTTAATGAGATATTTCGGTGTGGTGTGTCACCTTTTTCCCCTGCTTGGGCTAAACTTTATCCACTGTGTGAGTTTCTTAGTTACTGTAGGTTTGTTCTGAGCAGGCTGAGTTGGTTCTGCTACTAACTGATGAATCTGATGAGCAGAAACACAGTTGCTGCCCTGCCTGTGGAGCCAGAAGAGTAGCTCCTGTGTTTGCAGCTCAGTCTATATCTCTAGGAGGTTTTATTCCAAAATACTTAAGTTGGGAATTTGAAAATCAGACCAAGGAACTCAAACAGATTCCACAGAATTTCATGTCCTCTTTATTCCATTCTCCCCTGTTGCAGACGGTTTCTCAGAAATCCAGAGTCAAAACTTGACCTACAGAAAATAAAGCATTTTCCCACTGTCTTCCTTGCTTAATGCTGTTTAATGGTAGACTGAAAGTGCTTTATTTGTATTGAAATGGGGAGTGTTACGTGTTGAGAGTGAGCTGTGATCTCCTGCCCTTCCATGTAGTAAAAATAGTTCTCGTGGAGCTTTCTGAGTTGGTCTTCTGTATTTTGGCTTGACTTGCTTATATATAACTCGCTCTCCATTGAATTCTTAGTCCAGATTTCCACAACCATGGTAACTGCCACAAGGAGACATGCACAAAATAATTCTCACTGCTATGTCTGTCGATTCTTTTGTGTGTGCCTGCTCTGTCTGAACTGATCACGAGAGGCTAAATGTCTGGTTGTGGAACTGGCTGGGATTTTTTTAGCGAAGGACTTTATTATTCCTCCCACCCCAACTTAGCCCTTTACTGCTCGTGCTTGGCTTGTGTATCAGGATGAACAAACAATGTCTGAACACTAATCCAAGGGCACATTACATATGCCATCGGTCTGAGCACAGCCGTCACTCTCTTCATGCCCTTTGCTTTGGGAAGGTCTGGGTACGAGTTACTCTGCGCAACAGGTCTCGGGTGTATTATCTCCACGTTGCAGATAGTTCTCCTGAATGGCATAAAGGTTACATGACTTGCCTGGAGGAAAGAGGATGGGGGTATGATGGCTGCAGCTGGAGTTCCTGTTTCTCAAGACCTTGCCACAGGGCGTATGACAGCCACATTTGTGAGTTAGCAGCATTTCCATGGGAACCGTCAATCTGAATTTTTTTGACTTTTCAGAGACTAAATTCTCTGCCTTAATGTTCCATTAATGCGTTTTAGGGAGAAGGAAGGAACCAGGTGCCGGGGTATTCGGGGTATTCGTGTGACGAGAATAGCAGATGAATAAATGCCTTTATTTGAATGTGCAAGCTCAGGATTGGGCATTCCGATGTCTGGAGGAAATACATTCTTTTCCCAGTGATCGAGTGAAAAAGTAGGAGACGAGATTGGGGAGGGTTTCCACAGCTGGAGAATTGCTGTTGGGGAGTCACTGGACTGTGCAGGCTTTGGTTCACGCATTCCAGTCAATTTTCACATGCTCTGGGGATAAGAGTCCCTTGCACCCCGTGGAGCTTGTGAAGTCTGAAATAGACGCCCAGGGGTCTCGAAAGAAGCCTGGTGGGCTCTGTCTGGGTAACAGGAGGCTGAGGACAGTTCCCCCCCAAACACGTGTCCTAGATGGCATCAGTGTAGGCTGTGCAGAGCGTGAAGTTCTTCTGCTCATCCTGCCCTCTGTCACCCGTTCCAGATTTCTGTGTGTTTTTTAAAGGGCGGTTGCCACGCAGTGGGGAGAGAAAGGGGAAGTGCAGTCCCAGCGTGTGCAAAATCAGATCTGTGTGTGTAGTCGCTTGGTTAAGCCTGCTTGCAGCTTGGCTGGCCTCAGTGCTGACAGCTGACTTCTGCATGGGAACAGCATGGCTTTGGGTAGGATCAGGGTGAGGGTGAAAAAGCACTGACCTTGGAGACCAGGAGGCACATTACATTGCTAAAAACCAGGTTTAGTCCCCAGCCTTACATCCAAGGCAGCCAGTATGTGGTGTCCTGTCTTTGCCAGAGTAAGTTTTCCCCAGGTAGCTGAAATGAAATGGAGAGAGGAAACATGGTTTGGTGTCACAGGTCATGACTGTAATCGTGTTTCTGGAGTGACTTGCTCTGGGCACGCATTCATGTCACTTGTGTTTTACTTTCTCTTCTCAGACTGTAGAGTAAGATCTTTTGCCTCAGTCTCAGGTATGCTGCAAGAGTTAGTCAGTGATCGTCAAGCTTTTAAAAGTGGAAAGTAGTGATGTTAAATAATGTTTCTTTGGTATGTAGAGGTGAACTTTTTTTTTCCAGCTAATTACTCCACTTTTGCTGTCTAATATTATCTAGTATCCTGTGGCTGTTGGTGTATGAAGCCAGGCAGAAAAAAAATAATAAATTTGAGAGAGCTTGGGGATGTGTAATAGTAACTGAAGATGATACAAAGAAATGGGGTGTAGGAAGTGTTGCTCTTCACCATCATCCAAGGTACAACTGAGGATTTTGTAGCTGGGTTGCAGCTGAAAGACAGATACAATGTTTTGAGGTAGCTTGACAGCTGTGACCCGTCATCTTGGTGCTTCAGGGTCCCCACGGATTAGAATCTCACTGAAATTGTTTAAGTGGGCTACAATTATCACATGTATCTGAGAAGTGATACTTTAGGGGTGCTTCACAATCAGACATTTATCATTCAGCATTTTAGTAGTGGGGTGTCCTGCTTACAGCTGTTTATGTTGATCATATCATAAAGTCATAGTTGTGTTTGCATGCATGTAATGGATACCAGTGAGCTGCCCAGTTTGGTTTTGTAACCCCTGCCCATGTCTCTAGTCAGGACGTGTAGCGTCTGCCACTGACTTCAGTCTCCCTTAACCTCAAGCCTCAAATTCTGGCCTTTCCCAAAACACCGATGCTGTGCCTAGACATGTGTTTGCAGAGCAACATCTGTTCTGGATGGGTTTTGTGTCCATGCTCAGTGCTGCTGTGCTCCATGTGAATGGAGATGAGTGATCCAACCTACCTTAAGCGGTGTGGAGTTCAAACCAGATTTTGGAGGCAAGATTCTGAATTATTTCTAAAAGACTGATTTGTCTGTTCAGTAGGTTTCCCTGGTTCCTCCCTGCCTTCTGCTATTCCTCAGAAGGGAACCTTCACGCTTCAGACAGGGAACTCGCAGTTACAGGTGTTAAAGCTGCAGCACGGATAAATTGAGGGCTGGCAAACTGCAGGATTGAGGTTACTCATCACCTGTGCTTTCAGGCCCCGGCTGTGCGTTCTAACAGGCTTCCTGTCTCAGGATGTAGGTCGTTATCAAATATTGTTCGGTTTTATTTATTTGGTATGCATGGTGTGTAATTGCAGCCCTCTGAGAGTACACGTAGACCAGCCTTGGGCTAAATGCAAAACTGGATTTCTTCTTCCGTCTCCCTTTGTAGCATATAAGCATCTCCCAGCCAGTTACGTAGTTATCTTTGGCAGCAGCCTGATAAGATTAGGAAGCATTAGCCCCTGTAAAGTGGGCAACTTAGGGCAGTAAGTTAGAGAGGTCTTTAAAAATTGCTACTATTTTTGCATGCTCTGAACAAGATACTTTGGGGATCTGCATTTCTGTTTTCTCCTCTACTCCTGTCTTGGAACATAGTGTTTTTATGGCACTTCCTATGCTTTGAAGCAAAAGCTCTTTTCTCTCAGTTATAGAATGAAGACACCCTCCTATGCTTCTGCAGCCCAAATGGTGGCTTTTTTTAATCTGATTTTTTTTTTGCCAAGCCTCCTAGTCCTCAAAAACACTAGGAGCTTTTGAGAGGCATGCAGGAGAAGAAAGGCCTGTGGTCACCCACAGCTTGCATCAGTACGTCTGGACATCTAGTTCTGTGACCTGCTACAGCTGCTCCATGATCAGGGTTCAGTTCAGCCAGCAGAGTCAAGGGTAGCTGTAATAATCTACTGCCCTTTGGATGGGGCAGGTGGTGGCATGTAACTGATACTGAGAATTAACCTACAGACCTGTGCATAATCTGCAGCATATTCTGGGACATGACAGTGAATCCAGCAAAATGTGCTGTAGTAGGAAATTAATCTAAAAGATTAGTCTTGACCCCTGTGCTCTCCCTCAAGCCATATTTTGCCTCTCTGTTACCTATGTCAGTTATTGTCCTCCTCAAGATGTAAAGTACTTTCTTCATAGTTTTTTATTTTGTTATATTTGGGAGGGGAACAGGAGCAAGAGCTTCCTGGTAAAATTTATAGCTGAATTTGTAAGGATGTTGGAGGAGCTGGGAGGAGTTTCACAAGTTAACAAGTCAACGTTTTCCGTTGCTGATACTCTGCATCAACTCTGTCTTGAGCTAACTTACAACTTAAAATATCTTGGCCGTTCTAGAGAACAAATTTAATGTGGGATGGGTTTGTTTGGGAAACTTTTGTTTGTTTATTTCGAAAATAAGCATCTAAAAGCGGGCCCTTACTATGGCATATTAAAGGCAACCCATGCTCTGAGTAGATCTGGTAGCAATGCCAGTTACACAGTTATTCCTCATTTAGAGGGGAACCTTTTGTTCTAAGTGTACCTCTGTATTCATGCCTCTCTCCTCCACAGCTTGAAAAATGCCACCGATCCAGAAAGATCTTTGCACAGTATTACGTGTTAGCCTTCTCTAAACTACCAACAAAGTTGTTTACCTCAAGAAGGGGTCGGTAGTTCCTCATTTCTGCCCTGTGTAAAGAGTATCAGCAGGTTAATTAGAACATGTGCTTGAAAGGGTTGTGTCAGGCTTACCTCTGTTAGCTTTGTCTTTCTGTGACTACCTCTGCCATGACTAATCCGCAGGGTGAAGTATCATTCTGGGTGGAGAAATGTAGGTTCCCTTCCTCTGGGCCTGGGAAGAGCAAAGTGGGCAGTGTCGCTGCAGCACTTCTTGAGCTATTTGAATTCTTTTGTGAATTAAGGCTTGTCCGAGTGAGGAAGTAGTCAGAGTAATTATTCATTTATGAAGTGGGTTGGGCTAAATGGGGAGAGGAGCGCTTTAACTTTTGCAGTATGAACATCCCCGCAGGAATTTGGACTGGAATGCCTTCTAAGAGTTTATCTATCTATAGAGATCTGCCAAAGAAGCAAGAGGGGTTGGTTCTTTTGTTCCATGTTCACCTCCCAAGCTTGCCAGATTGCCAAAGCAGTTTTGGTTGCTGCTCACTCCTTGCCACTCTAACATTCTTCTCACAGAACAAAGTCGCCGCGATGACCTGGAGAGCTTGGGCTACGTGCTCATGTATTTCAACCTGGGCTCACTGCCCTGGCAGGGCCTCAAGGCTGCCACCAAGCGCCAAAAGTATGAGAGGATCAGCGAGAAAAAGATGTCAACGCCCATCGAGGTGCTTTGCAAAGGGTACCCTTGTAAGTCCTCTCATCTTGATGGTTGTCCTGTCCAGTGCATGGCTTGTTCTCCTGCTGAAACCCCATGGAGTCTTGAGTCCTGAAGGGCAATGTCCAGTACTTCCAGACCAGGATGTGCTGCTGACACCAGTGATGAGAAGGATATGAGACCAGTGGTGATGCAGTTCTGGTGCGGAAGTGGGAAATGCAGATGTTTTTGTGGAGAGTCAAGCCTTGCATCAGTAAGGATGTGGCCGTGTTGAGAAGAGTCTTTAGGACCTCAGAAACAGTTTGGAAGAGAAATAACCAGACTATTAAGTGACAAATGCAGTTCTTTGTAGGTAAATGTGGAGTAAAATATGTGAGGGGAGAGTAGGAGGCTTAGTTTTCATGTCACAAGCAGAATAGCAGGCCCTGAGCTGACCAGTGCCACTCAGCAAGGAGTTGTTGAAGTTACAGTAGATAGTTCTGTGAAAGCATCAGCTCTGCACTTTGTGACTACTGAGGAAAGTGGATTGAATGTTAGGAAGTGCAAGGAAAGATAGAAGCCCAAACAGTGTAGCTAAACCCATGGCCCACTTGTGTGTGCTGTACAGCTCTGGTCCTTGCCACTATTTCAGAAAGGAGGTGGTAGAACTGGAAGAGGGTCCAGGAAAGGCCAGAAGAGTGATCAGAGGTGAGGTGATTTCTGTGCAAGCAATGGATTTGGTGGAACCTGGAAAAGAGGTGATTAAAGAGATGGTAAAAGTCTATATTCTTACTCTGCCTCCAGAAGTTTGGATGGGAGCTGATTATTTGATGGCCCCAATTCTTGTATTGGAAGAGAAACAAAACTTGTTTCTGCTGGCTTCAAAACAAGATGATGTGGGTCTTCACACAGCCAGTAGCAGACCCGTGGAACTCCTTCCCAGAAGAAGTTGTGGGTTCTTAAAGCTTACATGAATTCAAGGAGAGGTTGGACAACTATGTGGAAGAGAGAGCCACTGAGAGTTAGTAAATGCTACTAGAAACCACATCTAGATCAGGAAGTTCCCTGAACTAAAAGTAGGTAGAAGCTAGGCTAATGTCCGTGGAAGTGTCAGACATACTTGCCCCAGTCTTTCTCCTCTGTAGCTGTCTACTTCTGGCCGCTGCTTAAGACTAGCTATAGAACTAGGAGAACCTCTGGTCTGACTGAGCTTCCCAAAGCTCATCTCCACTTGTTTTTTAGGCCTGCATTCTTACTCTCCCTTCAGCAGACTCTCTGACTTCCTGCCTCTTGTTTGGAGGAGCACCAGAAAAAGAGATGTGTGAGCATTTTCTCTGGTAAAATAGGGATGGGTTGGCCAAAAGCACTGTAACCAGCAGGCTCCAGTTCTGTTACACAGCCCTGTATTTGTGCTGTCCTGGTCCAGTACGCTGCTGCTGAAAGGCTGTAGTGCCTCCGCGGTAGGACAGAGAAGGTTAGATGGTGTTCAACAACCAACTGTTCTCTCCTCCTTCCAGCTGAGTTCTCGACATACCTCAACTTCTGCCGCTCACTGAGGTTCGATGATAAGCCTGACTACTCATACCTGCGGCAGCTCTTCCGCAACCTTTTCCACCGCCAAGGCTTCTCCTACGACTATGTCTTTGACTGGAACATGCTTAAATTTGTGAGTGTGTGTGACGAAAGGATTGGAGGAGACAGGGGCTGATTTGTATCATAGTGATGGGGGAGGAAGGTTGGAAACTGCCTGCCATTTTTACTTGCCCCCTACTGAGGAACTTGAGAAGGGGAACCAGGTGGAGTGACAAGAGGCAGTGTGATTGGTGGTGCTAACTGGGGGGTACAGCTACTGTTGTATTATCAAGTGTGTCAGATGGAGTATGTGTATCACTAGATAGGTAGGTAGAGATGTTTGAAAGAGAACTGTATGGAGGTGGGACACAGGCGTGGATTGCAATAGCAGCTTTCTTTGCTGTGTCTTCATGGAAGAGAGTGAGGCCTTCTCTAGGTGAGGGGAAGACATGTTTTGGGGATGGAGCTGTGCTTTCTTGGATGGAGCACTGTGTGTTTTCTGTCCGGGGCTACTGCTATCTCTCCTGCCTGACAATTGTGTACAGTGTGGGGGTTTCTCTCATTCTCAGGGAGCAGCCCGGAACCCCGAGGATATGGATCGGGAGCGGCGAGAGCATGAGCGAGAAGAGAGGATGGGGCAACTCCGGGGTTCAGCTACGCGAGCGCTACCCCCTGGCCCGCCTGCTGGAGCCACTGCCAACCGTCTTCGGAATGTCACTGAGCCCATGGCTTCCACCCCCACCTCCCGAATCCAACAGTCCGGTGAGGGGGGTGGGAGAGCTGGGGGAGGGTGCTGCCCCTGTTGTTGTCTGGAAACCCGAACTATTGCCTCATACTCTTCTCTTGTGTTTCTCTGTCCAACAGGAAACACGTCCCCCAGAGCAATCTCCAGAGTGGACAGGGAGCGGAAGGTCAGCATGAGGTTACACCGAGGAGCTCCTGCCAACGTCTCCTCATCTGACCTCACAGGGCGGCAAGAAGTGTCGCGGATTTCAGCATCACAGGTGAGTCCCTGCTGTGATGTTCGTGGCCTTGGCCTGGGTGTCCCAGAAGGACTGTGGGGCCCCACGGGGGTTTTTACCTCATCTGCTGGAGCTGATGTGAGCCTGAAGCTTCTAGTGTGGTGAGGGGAGGTGGTACCACGTTACACCTTCACTCTTAAGTTACATGTTTTCTCGAGACCACCCTCAGTACTGTTTCCTTAGCTCTGGTTGGCTTAAAGTAAGCCTTCATCTTTTGTCTTCCAGACCGCAGTGGTTTGGAGAAGTGGAACGGTAAGCTCTTGGGAGGAAAGATGTCCTGAGAGAAATGTGCAGCCTCTCTGGTTTTGTGCCCTTGGTGTTTTTTTTTCTTCCTCTCCATTCCTTACTTGGTCTTCCTTTTCTCTTGTAGACAAGTGTGCCATTTGATCACCTTGGGAAGTGAGGAGCAATTGCCACTGGACCAGTGTTTGCTTAGGTGAGCCTGTCCTCATGCCCAGGATCCTCCAAGGAGGGAATTGCTGGTGTTAGGGATTAGGTTAAAGCTTTGATGTTGCTCTGGGGGATGGGTACATTCCCTTTCCCTTCACCTTGCTTTTGAGATGTCTTTTGGCTTTGGATGGTAAAGTTGGCTGCCAAAACTTTTGGGGGGGTGGTGGATTATTTTAGGTGTGCAGGTAGCTTCCTGGGTAAGGAGGGTGGAGAAGGTGCTGGGCCAGGGAGTGGTTTTGTTAGTTGCTCCTGAATGTTTTTCTGACATGGTGATAGCGTTGGGGAGGAGGGTGCTGAGCATGTAATCAAATGTGCAAGACTTTGCATAGCTAGCGAGTGCCTCTTGGTAGAGGAAACAACAGTAGCTGGATAAGGTAACTCTGAGGGGTGGCAAGAGTATAGGAGAAAGGGCTGATTTGATTTGTTACACTCCAGTTTGCATTGGATGTGGTGGGAAGTGCCTTTTCTCCTAACATCTCTTCCCTTTTTCTCTCTTTTTAATTCCCTCTCTAGTGTCTTCACTGTATTTTTTCTTTTAAAAAACAAAAAACCCAAAAAAACAAACAAAAAGTGACAAAAGACAAAAAAACAAACAAAAAAAATAAAAGAAACCCGACAGAATTTCTTTTTTGCCAACGACGAGGAGTTGAGCTGTGCCCCTGCACTGGCGTGACCCGTTTTCGAGAGGGGCCGCCTGCATCCCCCAGCGCGAGCACCTCCGAGAAGCTGACGATGCGGGAGCTGTGTGGGAACACCTCCACTGCCCCCCCAGCCCCACCCTGGGCCCTACTGTTGCCCCCACTGGCTACTCCCAGTTCCCTCTCCTGACTCTTTGCTCCTGGTTTTGATTTCTCTCTCTTTTTTTCTTTTTTTTTTTTTTTCTTTTAAATCCTTCTTGGATGTCTGCAGCTTTTTCTTTTTTTTCCCCCTTATTATTACTTTCAGATCATATGGTTTCTTGCCATATAAATCTTAACTTTGCTCTCCTTTTTTTCTGAGGGCAGGGAATGGGGGGGAGGGGGTGTATGATTTTTTTATTTTGTTTTAGGGGGGGTTGGGTTGTTTGGTTTTTTTTCAGGAGCCAGCCTTGTGGGCCAGGAGGGAATCAGATTCCAGCCACACTTGATGGTAGAAGTCTGATTTTTTTATTATTATAACAGAATTTATTTTCTCAAGCATTAAATGAATTTTAAGCTGTGAGGGGAATTGTGGCAACAGCCTAATCATTGACTTCCTTTCCTTGGGTGGCTTCTCTGCGTTTTTGTTTTTTTTTCAGCTGTCGGGAGAAGTGCCAGACTTCCCTGATCCGTGCGGTCCTCACGCGCCAAAGGATCTCTGTGGAGAGGCACCTGGTCTCACGGAGGATGGGAAGGCTGGAGCTGAAATACAGGGAGAAATACACTTCCCATCCCTGCAGCGGGGTCTTTTTTTTTTTCGTCTGGCTGTGCGTGTTTTTCTATTTTTAATTTTTTTTTTTAATTAAAAATTTTAATTCCTGCGGAGAGGGCTTGAGGAGAAGAGAGGGGCGCACAGAAACTGGAGTTTGGTGTTCTTTCAGAGCGATGGCTCTTGCTCTCTCCTTCCCTCATGCAACCCCAAGTGAGACCCACTGTACGTGCACAATCCCTTCCTGCCCTCTCCCACCCATCTCCCTTCCCCTTCCCCCCCCCACTTTAGTTGTTTTTAAATATAATTTAGGAATACTCAAGCTGCTTTGTGGCACTTGGGGCTTTGAAACACAATGATCACCACTGCGACCTATGGCCTGTAGCAGACACACTGTCACTGTAGTGTGGAGCCGATGGGTTGTTGGCAGGGCGGGGAGGGTGGGGTTAGTCTTTGTTTTGTTTGTTTTTATCCTTTCTATTTAACACTTTATTTTTCCTCCCTATTTTTTCCTAATTTATTTACCCCTCTTACTGTCTCTCTTTTTTTTAATTAAAGAGCAAAACTTTTTATTACTTTGTAATTTAAAAAAACAAAAAAAAAAACCTGAAGAACTTTGGGGGGAATTTTGTACTTTTTTCCTGTGTAAATATTGGACTTTTTTGAGCTTTATCGTGGTTGTTAATTTGAAGTAATAAAGTAGAAAATGATAAAGTGACGCCAGCATCTGTCTTTTCTTCCTTCCCTGACATCTTTGCTGGGAGCGGCATCTTAACCCGCAGGAACTGCTGTCTTGGGGCTGAACCTGTTCCTGAGTTCCAGGAACGAGTTTGATCAGAATTACTGGAAAAAAGGCACAGGGCTGGAGCACCTAAAAATAAATCTGGGCTGATCTCTGCAGTTGCAACCTTGGAACAGTGAAAGCTATGTGAAATCCGATTCAGGATCTCGCGGTTCCTGGATTTGAGCCTCAGGCGTCCCATGTGTCTGTCTGGCCTTCGGGAGGAGGGACCTTTCCACGCCCTTGGCTTTGGGTGTGCACCAAGTTGGACAAGAGGTGGACCCTGGGTTTTGTGTCTTTCTTGCTTTCTTCTATCCTTAAACATAATCGACAGAGGAAGGGGAAGGAGGGGTCGGAGCAGCAGCCCCCGAGCACCAGACTAGCGCTGAGCCTGATAAAAATGTGCTGGACTCCTGTGAAGTGGCACCTTGTGCTTTGGTGTACTGCGGTAGTGTTGTGTGTTCGAGTTTCTCCTCCTCTGATTGCCTGACCTGTCTAGCAGCAAATTACTGGATTTTAATACTGATTTATTTCTAAATCGCTGCTCCTATATAGTTACACTTCCCTGCATTATCCAGCTGAGAGCCCTGTTTCTTGCAGGCTGTGTAAAACTCCTGAAATTGACTTTTTCAGAAATGCCTGTGGGGACTAAATGATGCCTCTTAACGACTTCGCAAAATCCTTCCACATCCATTCTCTGCCGCCTGAATGCGAAATGCTGCTCCTGCCCTTTGCCTGTCGTGTGTTGGGCCTCCAGCTCCTCGGATGGGAGATGAAGAGTAGGAGGGAAGGGAGAAAGGTTCGGGGGTTTGGGGTATTGTCCTGTTGCCCCTATGTGGTGTCGATTCTGCCTCTGTTCCGAGTGTGGTTTGAGGGAGCGGCATGAAATTGGATTGTTTCCCTTTCTAAATCTCACTTTCTGTGAGAAGAAGGAACGGGGCCTGTGTTGAAGACAACACCCAACCTTCCCCACGGTGCCTTTGCTCTGCTGCGGAGGGGACAGGGGCTTGCTCCGGCTGCCCTTTCAGGAGAGAGCTCTGCTGTGGGGCCGTTGCGAAACGTGCCACCGTTTTGGGAGATACGGAGCTCCGTGGGGTGCTCCACCCGTGTCTCGAAAACGTGGCAAACGCTCTTGTGAGGCAGCGCCAGGCACGCTCTGGGTGGGGCAGCACCTCCCACAGCTATGGCGAGTGCTTGGCTTTTTGTTGTGTTTTTTTTTTTGGTTGGATTTTCTGTTCGAGGGGGGAAAAGGGGCTCTGAGGCCCAACTCTGCCTGGGTTGGGGGATGGGACTCTTCCCGAGGGAGGGGAAGAACTGCTGGAAGGGGCGCTCAGGCAGACGCGGCCCC